CACAGTGAGATCAGCCTTGGGAATGGACAAGGGGCCAGGGTTGTGGGAGACTGGGGGAGGTAATGACCCAGACAGGGGTCAGGGGTGGCCTCCTGGAGGGGGTGGGGGATGCCTGCATCAGGGTTGAAGGACAAGTAGGGTGGGAAAGGGAAGAGCGAGCCAGGCAGAGGGAGGAGCCCGTGCTGCCTCAGCGCGGGCAGGACGCTTGGTGGATCGGGCTGCGCAGGGACTCACGGTCACTTTGAAGGTGATGGCCTTCTGCAGGCCTTCGGGGGAGATCTGCAGCAGCTCCGCCACTGCCTGGATCTCCCGGGCACTCACCACTGAGGCCGTCTCCTGTGCATCTGTCTACGCAAAACCCCAACAGGACTGCGTTTTAAACTGGAAAACTGGGTTTAAAGTTCATAGAAAAAACATAATTAAGGCAGGGGCGCCTGGGTGGCTCAGTCGGTTAAGCGCCTGACTCTTAGTTTCAGCTCAGGTCATGATCTCACAGTTCATGAGTTCAAGCCCCAACTCATGGGAGTTGGGATCCGTGCTAACAGCACAGCGCCTGCTTGGGAGTCTCTCTTCCTTGCTCTCTGCCCTCCTCCCTCTTCCCCTCTCTCTCTCTTTCTCTCTGTCTCTCTAAAATAATAAATAAGTAAGTAAAATAAAAATAAAAAACATAAGCAAACTAGAAGAACCAGGAAAGTTCTGAAATAGGAGTGAAGGGGGCCCTATGAGATAGTCAAATGCTCTAAGGCTATGATAATTAAAACAGTCTGGTAATAGACACGTAATACATTGGTTAATGAAGCACAACAGAAAATTGGGTATTGGGCATAAATGTACATAAGAACTTAGTACGTGGTGAGTAGCTATTTCTCGGCTTACAGGATTAGCAAAACTAAGGAACCATGTAGAAAAACAGAAATTGGACTCCTACCTCACACCTTACTGGGATAAATTCCTGATAAGCCAAAGATTAAATATTCATACCCACCCACCCACCCACCCACACACACACACACACACACACACAACCATAAAAGGGTTTGAAAAATTATGGGAGAAGGCTGTTCTAATTTTAGACAAATGAGTCTCTCTAAAAGTGATTAAAATATCTAAAATTTGTACAAGAAAAGATTGGTAAATAAAATGCCTGAAAGTAATTCTAAAAATCTACATGGCGAAACCCAACCTAAACCAAACCAACCACCAAGCGAAACATCAAAAAACCTAGATACAAATCAAAATATAAATGGTTAAGCTAGGAAATATATTTGCAATTCACATCAGAGGCAAAGGGCTGGTTTCCTTCACATATATAAAGAGCTCTCATACGTCAATAAGAAGATGAGCAACCCCAGTGGTGGGGGCGAGGGACAGGAGAGGGAACAAATGATATGCAGCCTCTGAGAAGATGCCCTGTGTCCTGAGGGTGCCAGGGCCCCAGGCCAGCTGTGGGCTCTCTCACCTCATACTTCTCAAAGTAGACGTTGCCAAGGTGCAGGATGGACGCCAAGATGCGGAAGATGCTGTCCTGGTCCTCACCACTGAAGCCCAGGACCTCCATGGCGGCCAGGAGCCGGCGGAAGTCGTCAGAGTCACTCTTCCCTGAGATCTCACAGTTCCCACCCTGGGCGAGGGCAGGGGCCGGGGATCAGGGACTGTGGGTGGGGGCTGGGGATGCTCAAGGTCCCTGTCCTGGCTCACGGGCAGGGTGGCCCAAGGCTGGCACTCCAGCTCCGTCCCATTCCCACGGGCCAGGAGGCTCCTAGCAGGTGCTGCACGCCAGGCCCTGTGCGAAGCGCTTTATGGAGGTTTCTGTCTCTAATGCTCATTGCATCCCTACAGAGTGATATTATGCTGTTCCCATTTTACAGGTGAGGAAATTGAGGCCCCAAAGGGGAAGTGCAGTAGCTCCAGGCTGTTTAGTTCTGTTCTAGGCTATAGAGAAGTGAAGAGTCAGGTAGGCCTCCCCTACCCCCACTTTGGACCCTAAAGATGCCCGTCATCCTTGCCGTGAGGAGACACTTCAAACCCAAACTCATGCCCCCAACCCCCATCACCTCCCCTTCGCCGGCTGGCTATTAGGATGCCATGAGTTGGTTCCCTCAGGCCACGCTGGGTGATGGCGCAGGGGTACCAGGCGGGGGGCCCTTGGACGCCTGCCGGTGCTCACCTGGTTCAGGTAGTAGTAGGTCTCTGCCTCCTGCAGACTGAAGGCCTGCCGGAGCTGGGCGGGGAGCCCGGCCAGCAGCTCGTAGAAGATGTGGTAGTTCCTTTCATGTCTGGCCTGTACAGTGGGGAGGTGGGTGCGGAGAAGGGAGCCACCACCTAGGTGACCCCCAGACACACATACGACGCCGGGCGTGCCCGCCAATACAAACACGAGGGCCCACGTTTGAGCCCAGGCAGCTCTGTGATGAGTAAGCTGCCAGCCTGGCACTCGGTGGGCGCGGGGGTGGGGAAGCGGTCCGGTGGTCGGCAGGGCGCTCTGGTTGCGATTTCATTCCGTTTGGAGGGATAGGAGAAAGACAGCTTGCGCACGCTGGCCGCACACGCCTGAGTGTGCTGTGTCCGCAGCCCAGGTGCACACACACAGGGCCTCCCGAAGGTCACCTTGGCTGAGGGACAACTATTCCAGACCCTGCTGCAGGCCCTTGAGACCCAGTGGGGAACAAGGGAGACAGAAGCCCTGACCTCACGGAGCCCTCCTTCTAGCTGGGGAGACAGACGCTCAGCAAATCCCTGGTTAAAACATAACAGATGGAGACAAGTGTGGCGGAAAGAAATAAAGCAGGGAAGGGGTGGGGGGTTCCCGTGGGGCGGAGAGGGACTTCATTCTAAATGGGGTAGCTCCCCTGAGCAGGTGACACTTCAGGGAAGACTTGGAGGAGATGAGGGGCTTGGTCACGTAGGTGTCTGGAGGGAAGAGTGCTCAGACAGAAGACATTGGAGGTACAAAGGTCCTGTGGTAGGACCATGGCTGGCGTGCCTCAGGGACAAGAAAGAGTCAATGTGGCCGTAGGGGTGAGAGAGGGGAACAGATCGCATGCTCACACAGACATGTGTCTTTGTTCATTAATCCAGCACTTCCCTAGCCCTGCTGGGTGCCAGGTAGGAGTACCTGCATGCCCCCAGCCCATCCCACCACACGAGGGTATGGAAGGGCCTTACCCACCTGGAACACAATCCTGGATTTCTCGAGCAGGTACTGGGAGGTTATGGCACCAGAAATCACGCCCCTGGAGTGGGGGAGCGCAGTCAGCTCGTGCAGGTAGGGGGATGGCTGGGGCAGGCTCTCGGAGGCCCACACGGAGTGCCCTGCAAGGCCTTTGGGCCCCGCCCCCCACTGTCCCACTCACCCTTCCAGAAAGACCTCCACAAACTTCCCGAAGCGGCTGGAGTTGTCATTCCTGACGGTTTTGGCGTTACCGAAGGACTCCAAGAGGGGTGTTGCCTCCAGGATCTGGACCCCAGAAGATGTGGGAATTGTTCTGGGGACCTGGAGTAGGGAGCATGGCTAGGGCCACCCCTACATTTCCCCAGATACAGACCTCCCCCAGGACCCCCTGCGTGAGGGCCAAACCCCGGTGGGCTCCCCGTAGAACCCTCGGGTCTCCCCCGGGGTCTCCGGGCGCCTGCCTCATGCTGCCACCCCCAACGCCCAGGCCGCAGCCACCCCCCCCCCAGCCCCCACCACTCCCACCGCAGCCCCCGGCCAGGAGGATGCCTCTTCCCGCGCATCCCACCATCACACACGAGTGTGCGCACACATGCACATACACAGGGGCACACACACATGCTCCAAGTACCTTTATCTTCAGGAGTGCCCAGGGCGGCAGAGAGAGGCATAAGAACAGACTCAGGTCACTTGTAGGACCGACCCCCTCCCTCTCCAGGCCACCAGGGGCCTTAGACCTTAGAGGGACCACCCACCCCTTTGGGCCTCTGGGGAGGGCAAAGCCATAAATCTCGGGGACCCCAGCGTTCCAGGCCTGGGGACTGCAGTGTGGCCCCAGGGTGTGGGAGTCTGCTTGGGCCACCTGCCAAAAGGCTCTGGGGATGTCCTCTGTACCCCGCCCCATCCCCAGGGCCACCTGAGGCTCAAAGCCAAGCCTCTGCCTTGACTGCAAGCCCTGCACAGCCCAGCCCCTGGCTGGCCTCATCTCTTCTTCCCTCCCTTTCTCTGCACCGCACGTCAGCCTTTCTGACTGGCCCCTTGACACCCAGGCCCCAGCTACCCTCTGGACCGGAGTTTGCTCCCTCTGTAGCCCTCAGCGCCACTGGCAAATCCCCTCACTTTTTTTTTAAAGAAAAAAATTTTTAACGTTTATTTATTTTTGAGAGACAGAGAGAGAGACAGTGCGAGCAGGGGAGGGGCAGAGAGAGAGGGAGACACAGAATCTGAAGCAGGCTCCAGGCTCTGAGCTAGCTGTCAGCACAGAGCCCGACGCAGGGCTCAAACCCACAAACTGTAAGATCATGACCTGAGCCGAAGTCGGTCGCTCAACCGACTGAGCCACCCAGGCGCCCCTCCCCTCACTCTTTGTATCACATCTCCCTCACTAGCATGTCAGCCCCCACAGGCAGGAATGTTTGTTTGCAAACTCTGGGCCCCTCACATCTACATGGGACCAGGTGTGTAGGAGGCCCTCACAGATGACACCAGGGCACCGCTCCCATTTATTAAGCACCTACCATGTGCCAGATTCTTTGTCCTAATTAGATGGGTGTCAACATTCTACGAGGTAGGTGCTGATACCGCCCCTTTTACAGATCAGGAAACAGACTTGGGAAGGCAAGGTAACGGTCCCGGGGACTCCAGAGCCCAGACAGCTGAGCTCACAGCACCATGACAAGCATGTGTGTGCTGCGTATACAGCGTTTTCTGGCTGAGTCATTTCCTCACATAGACTCTCAGGAAAGAGGCAGGGAAGGCCCCGTCCCTGCAGAAATGTTACTCTGGGTAAGGTGCCAGCTCCCTCCATCTGTTCACTCTCCTGGGCCCGTTTACTCCAGGAAATACCACGTCCACTGTACGAAGAAGCAGAATGAAGCCCAGACAAGAGCGGGGAGCGGCCTGGGCTTGTTCGGTGAGTCGGGATCCGCCAGGGCCCGAGTGTGGGTCAGCTGTCTCTCTGTTCCCGGTGTCCAGCCTGGGGCTGGGCAGAGGACTGGTGTTCTGGATGGGTGAACATCTGGCCCCATGGGGGCCCCTAGCTCACCCCGCAGGTGGGGCGATAGCCTGTGGTTTGGGCTGGGCGGCCTCCAGCCACTCTCCAGCCCGGGGAACGCTGCTCACATGCCCAGTCCAGAGGCCAAGCCCGTGGCCAGGGCCTCGGCCAATCAGGACACAACCGGGTCCAGCAAGGACACGTGGCCAAAAGTAGTCCAATGAGAGGAAACCCTAGACGTTCCCCGGCACATTGGGAGGTCTGGGTGGTACCTGCGGCACTACCTTGCTGACCGATGAGATAAGGTAGAACCAAAACAAGAGATGTTGTCTAAAACCCTGGATCGTTTAAGAGCGTGGCTAAAACCGACTGTCGGATGAGATGAGCAGGGCAGGGCGGCGGCTGGGAACTGAGGCCGTGACCATCCCATCTGGCAGGGGCCCCCCTCACATCCACAGAATGCCTGGCACACAGACCCCCAGACCCAGCGACGGCCCACCACCCTGACTGTCCTCCCTGACCCCCCGCTGAGACAGCTCTTTGCCTTGGGCTTCAAATCCCAGCTCCTCCCCCCTCCCCCCTGGGGACACTGGGTAAGTTCTCTCCCTTCCCAGGCCCCGGTCTCCCCATCCATAAATGGACACAAACCTGCCTCCCAGGGCTGCCGTGAGGCTCTCACATAACAACATAACCAAAGCCCCCCGCACATTGGAGGTGCTCGGTGCACGCATTTCCCTGCTACCTGGCCAGTCCTTCCAGAAGTCTGAACTCGAGAGATTTTGGAAAACTCTGGCTGAAGCAAAGGGAGGGCCCTGGAGGCCCAGTCTGGGAGACGAGGGGCTGGAAGGCCAAGGCAGGCGTCAGAGGGGACCGGGGGAAGTAGCCCCTCTTGACTACTAAGCCTGAGCTGACCCAATTCCCACTGAGGGCCACGCGGCCCCCACCTGGTGCCCCTGGATCCCCTCTGCGATGGCCACTGGCTGGGACACTGTAGCCACTTGCAAATCTTCATGGTCTGGGGCAGGGAGCCAGTTTCCGGTCTGAGTTGGTGGGCCTTCGCCTCCAGCCTCACCTTCCCTGAGCCCCAGGCTCATGGTACCCCCGGCACCTTCCCACCATCTCTGTATGGATGCCTGGCAGACACCTCAGAGTACCTGTGGCTTTTCTCCACAGCCATGCCCACGTAGCCCACGGCACCTCCGCGTTGCCTCTGGCTCAGTCCAAATGCCTGGGGTTGCCCTTGGACCGGCCCACTCTTTCACAGTCCAATCTGGCCTTTCAGCAAGTCGCTGGCTGACCTTTACACTGCACCCGGGTCTAGCTGTGCCCACCATCCCCACCACCACTTCCCTGCCCCAAGCCACTGTCCTCCCTTGCCTGGACTCCATGATGCCACACTGCCATCCCCTGAGCACACCAGACGTCCTTGCACCGCAGGGCCTTTGCACTTGCCCTTCCCACTACCTGTCTGCTCTTCTCCTAGATGTCTTTAGGACCCACTCCCACCTCTTCTCAGTGCAGCCTACCCTGCGCACCATGCTTCAAATTATAACCCGCCCAACCCCCCCATCTTCCTCTCTTTTTTTTCTCCACCAATTCCTACCCTTTTACAGAAACAAATCTACTTGCGTATTTTTTTTTCTTCCATGTCTACTGTAACGACATTCCCATGGCAGGAACACTGGTCTGCACTGCTGCTGCCTGCCTCGCCATCCCCTAGCCCGGGCCTGGCACATGGTACGTCCTCGGGAAAGCTCTACTGAGGGTCTAACGTTCCCAGGTGTGGAGGATCTAGCACCGTCCACAATGCTCCAGTCCCGTGCTTACCCTGGTCCGGTGTCCTCAGCACCCAGCGTCTAATGCACCCCACCCCCTGACTAGGCCTGTCCTTTCTCTTACACCACCAGGGAGATGAGGCCAGGCAGGAGGAATGGAGTGACTCTCCTTGCCCGTGGGGTTTCCACTCTGGCCAGGCCCAGCAGGGCTATGACCAGAGCTGCTCTGGAAGATAGGCGGGAGGGAGCTCCCTGCAGGCATGGCCACGGTGGGCAGGGGTGTGGCTCAAAGAGCAGGAATCTTCGAAGCCCTCCCAGTGCAACCGTGGCCTCAGCCTCCCCATCCTCCAAGTGGGGCCAAGGAGCCTTGTCTCTTGGGGAGCACTGAGCTCGGGAGTCCTGGGAAGTCAGACAGACCGTGCAGTGGACAGACTCACCTGCTGCATGATGCCTCGTTTCTGGTTCATGGCGGCCAGGTAGCGCAGAATCAACTTTGTGGCCTCAGTTTTTCCAGAGCCACTCTCTCCACTGACCAGGCAAAGAAGCGGAGTGAGAGCCAACTGGTTCACTGCCTGTTCTGGGCTCGCCCTCCCCCTCCCCTTCTTCAACCCCCTGTGACACAAGAGGACATGGGCTGGCTGGCCCAGAGATGTCAAGTGATTTCTCCCAGGTCCCACAGCAGGTCTGGCCTGATGCAGATGCATCATCTAGGACTCCTCCCGTCCACCCGCCCCACCCCTCCCGCCCCCTCCCTGCACAAGAGGTCCCCAGCCTGACGCACTGCTCACCTGATAATTATGCACTGGTTCTGTTTGGCATCAAGCATTTTGGCGAAGGCAAGATTTGCAATTGCAAAGAGGTGCCTGGAGAGGCAGGCCATAGTTGTCACTGGAATGGGACCCTGCCTCTCAAACCCCGCGGGTAGAAGGACAGCTCTGTCCACCCCAGCAGCCAGTTCTGCGCCACCCTCCACCCTGGGGAAGTGCTCCCTGCCCCCGTTCTGGTCAGAGCCATAGAAACTCGGGGAGACACCACTGGCCCGAGCAGGTGGGCTGCCCACCAGCTGGCCTTACCCTTGGCTCAGGGGCAGGCAGGGACCCAGGGACCCCAGGACAGCCCCCTCCCCATCCCCAGAGACACTCACGGGGGATTTTCTCCCAGGGCCCGCCCGCTGTACTGCTGCACCTGCTCCTGCCCATAGATTCCAAACATTCGGTACGGGTTCACCGACACCAGGATGCTGCCGATGTAGGTCTGCTGGGCGCACGGTGGTCTCAGTCTCCACGCCTCCTCGTGGCCCTTCTCCCCTGCTCCCAGGAGCCTGGAGCCCCGTTCCCGCGGGGCCACGTGTGGGGCTGCCTGGCCTCCCTGTTTGCACCTTGCACCCTCTCCTAGCTTGATGGGTCATGTACTCTGGTCATGGCTATACCAGGCTGAGGCTGGGAGAAGGCTAAGCGAGCAAAGCCCCATGGCCGCGAATGTGCAAAGGTGGCTGTGTCAGCTGCTGCGCCCTTCATTTAGTCACAGTCAGGGCCAGGATCCAGAAGCTTCTGCCTCGCAGTGAGGTCAAACCTTCACTGCCTGCAGTTGGGAGCCCAGGGCATTCCAAGGTGGCCAGGCCCTTGAGGGCAGCCTTCCCTCCTGCACTGCGGTTCTGGACCTCTGTTCCACTGTTCTGGGGCGAGAGGTGCCCCTTCCACCTCTCTGGCCACCCCCTTCCCGGGACCCAGGCCTATGGATTCTAGGACTCTTGAGTCCATTCTCGCGTCACCATCAGGTCCCCAGGGAGCAGTCACTCATTTCTGGACTTCCTATCTCCAGGTCTTTGTCCCTGACATCCACCAGTCCAAGATTCTATGTTTTAGAGCTTTGGGTTTGAGAAGCCCCGGCTCTAGCATGTTATTCTCAAATGGTAGAAACCCCAGAGTTCAAACCAGAAGCCGCAAACCTGGGGCTCAGCAGGAGAAATCTGTGCTTCCCGCTGTGGCCCCAGGAGAGAGCTACCTCTCTGATCTGGGCCCAGGGCAGACCCAGCTCTGGGACTTACGTAGATGAGGTTCCGCTCAAATCTGGTCTTGAGGTTGGACAGCACGGTGGTCTCCTGGAGGTCTCTGGAAGGGCATGGAGAGGGGACATCAGGACCCACCTTCCCCCTCAGTGCAGGGCCTTGGTCAGAAAACCCTGAGTTCAAGTCACCAACCAATTGTGAGGCCTTGAGCAAGTTCTTTAACTTCCCTGCCCCTCGGTTTCTTCATCCATCCAATGGATACACTACCTCATGGGGCTGGGGGAGGCTCTGGGGACGCAAACGTGAGGGCCGAGTCACCATGCCTGGATAATGATCTTGACCGGCACAGCCCTCACGTTTTGGGCACCTCCAACATGTCGGCACCCTCCCGATAACGGCCACCCACTCCCGTCTTGCAGATGAGAAACTGAGGCACAGAGAGGCAGAGTGGTGGGTCTGAGGCCTCCCAGCCAGGAGGTGGTGAGGCTGGGGTTTGAGCTCAGGCCTGTCTGCCCCCCAGGGCTTAGACACGCACACGCTGGCTCTGTGACGCTTCACGACTCCCACTTAGCAGATGAGGAAACCCCTAGCGGGAGGAGGTGCGTGTAGCCCCTCGGCGAACCCGGCCCCGCCCCACTCACTCCAGCTGCGTCATGTCCTCCACGCCGTCCTCCTGGCACTGGTCACGGAACCGTGTGGCTGGCAGGTTGCGGATGGAGTGCATCTGGGAGAGAGAGCCTGTGGTGGGCCTGGCTCGAGGGCGCCCACAGGTGGCCCCGCCTCTGGGACACGCCTGGGACCTGCTCTTGTCGTGGACAAGAGAACCCCGAGGCCAAGGCCAGGCCACATCCTGAGGCCTCTCTGCCGTGGAGTACTGTGGCCCGTGGAGCCTGCGCACAATTCTTCCTCAAGGGATGCGTGCCCGCCCTCTGCCCCTGCGTTCCCTGTGGCAGGTGCTCCCGTGGGCTCCCAGGTGTCCTGATGCAGGGGGTGAGCACATGCACACACACTGCTCCCGCTGACTGCCTAGAAGTCCTCCCAACCTCAGGCTCTTCCGGCGCTGACGCTCTTTCCCTGGGTGCGCCCCAAATTCTTGCTCATCCAGGTCCTGGTGTGTGGGGCCTCTGGGAGCGCTG